ACCCTTCTCATACAAACCTATAGCAATGGTGTCAGCATGTACAAGACCCATGCAAACTTAGGCAGGCAAAAACCCAGTACAGAACTGAGGAAACGAACAGCAAGCCCCAATCTTAGTCGAAGAATTACTGGCAGTTGATTACTGCTGGGTAAGGAAGAGCTGATCTTCTTGAAGAAGAGACTCTAAACAGGCTGACTAAACCCCAGTGGATGAACCTGCACTGAGGGACATCTCAGAACACTAACTTTATATAATAGGCCTTAATACAAATGACAGAATGTATGAACTCCAGTTGGGGGGCGCTATGGAAGGGTGTCAAAGGGGAAGGGGAAGAGGGTATAATGATGATTTTATGTATGAAATATACAAAAATTCAATAAAAAATTTTAATAAAAAAAGAAAATATAAATGAATTTTTAAGAGCGATGTAATTCAGATACAGTTAATGTTCTTTTTTTTTTTTTTTTTTTTTTTTGGCCTTTTTTTGAGACAGGGTTTTCCTGTAGTCCTAGCTAGCCTGGAACTCATTATGTAGACCAGGCTGGCCTTGAACTCACAAAGATCTGCCACCACACCCAGCTCCTGATACAGTTAATGTTTTAAGGGATCACTAAAGGCTTGACTGTGTGAAGTAGGTTTTCAGACATCTGAAATTCTTTAGCATTTTTAAAAAGATCACAAACCTAAGAGACTAACATGGATAAATTAAAAGTACCAAAATTAAAGGAAAGGCCCTGCTGGCAAGAAAGAAATCATGCATCAATGAAGACTGGGGTTAGAATAGCGGAAAAACGTTCCATGAAACGACAGGTGATGTTGCTTTAGTCATTTTGGAGCCAGACTGGGCAAAACCCTCATGGTAATGGCTGGAACCTCACACTCACTTAAATAATTCATAACCTAGTAATTCATGCCAGAGTAATATTTCTTGGCATGCTTACTCATCTGAATAAGATTTATGAGAAGAAAATTCCTTCTGCATTGACAGGGAGGTTCCTGTCATCAACAGGAGAAAAACCACATACGGTAGCTCTATTGATAAAACCTGATACGTGAATACCACAGTGACTCATTCAGGAAAAATAAGAAACAATCATCCAAATTTATAGGATAGACAAGTCAGGAGTTTATCACATTAAAGTCTCCTATATGCAAATGTCTTTAGAATGCAGTTTACAGCACTGAATCAAAGCCCAGCTCCCCAGCTCCTTAAGCCTGTCAATATGTCTCCCAGTCTTATCTCTTCCCACACTGCTCCATCCTGATGTCTGTCTGTCAAAAAAAAAAAAAAAAAAAAAAGGTGTGTCCTCCTCCATCTCCTCTCCTGTCCTACTGTCGTTCCCCCATTCACTCTTGCCAAGCTTTGCTGGATTGAATCATTATTGCCATCAGATTTTATTGTTTCTTTCAAATGGTAGAGGATTAAAAACAGTTGGTTGCCCCAAACTTCTTTCATCATTTTTCCTATTGTCTGGAAAATCTCCCATTCCTCTCCTCCATGTCTAGACCATCGGTCTCCCATTTTCTACTACATCCTGCCAAGGTCTCTGCCCTCCTTTATCCTGCTGCTTCTGAATGCCTCCTCCCAGCACCACAACTCAGAGATACTTCTAGTCACTGTTCCTCATGTATGTGTGTGCCTTATCTAGGCCATCACTGTGTGTACGTGTGGGTTGCCTCTCCTGAGACTAACAGTTCTCAAGCAAGCCTTCCTGCCTGAACCCATTCAAACATTTTTCCCTTTTGGAGAGGGCAGGAGGCAAGAACAATAAGAATGAAAATAAAAATGACCATGACGAACATAACACTAATGACTTCAACAGTAAAAACAGTGCAGCCACTCTGAGGGACGGGCCCACTGCTATCACTCTTTGGAGTGGCAGTGCCAAACACATCCTCTCATTGGTCTTTCAAAATACTGGGTACATAGACGGCTTTCAAATTTACTGGAAGAATGCACATTGGAGCCCTCATTTCACAGATGAAGAAACTGAGGCCCAGAAAACTCAAGGGCAGTCCCAGCTAATATGTGCATGTACTTTCTGACATCACAGATGTGGATAGTGTGAGAAGCTACAAGAAGGTGACATCCCTCTGTGGCATACAATGGCCAGTCCTGGATTGACCATCAGCCAAATGTGTTGCTGGTTCCACATAGTAAATCACACATCAACAAAGTCCCTGAACTACACCAAATCTAGAAAACCTCAGACAAGGTAGGAAACAGAATTCTTTCCATGATCCCCAGGAAGCGAGGGGTGGGAAAAACTGTCTGGAAGGTAGATCGTTTTCTGGGCTCCAACTCAGTGACCTTTGGAATTTCCTTAACTACTCTGATCACATCTATAAAATAAGGAATGTAACTGCAATAGTTTCAAAGGTCCCTGTATCACCTCAAAGCTCCAAGAGCCTCCCAGGGGACTGATTAGAAGGTACAGAACAACTCTGCCAAGACAGCTGACCAGGCCTGTTCTATGATCTTGTGACTTCTGCTCCAGTATCTAAAGGGGTCTCTCCGTCCTTCTGGAGGACTGGAAGCTGTCTCCAGGTGGAAATTCTCATGGAGTCTCTATCGGCCTCCAGTCATTCTTTCCTGCCAGAACTCAATCATTAAGGCCCATTTAAACACAACTCTAATTATTCTTGATTACAAATACAAAATAATTTTGTTAATAGGGCTTAAAAACGATGTACTTGAAGGTCAGATGCTACTATCTTATTTGAGAATGAACTCAGCAGAGGGAAAATGGGGAGGAGGTTTTCTTGGCTGGCAGCACAGAAAATTGTCTTCTGACCTCCATGGCACACATGCAACTGAATACATGTAACATACACATGATAAATAAGAAATAAATAAATAAAATTTGCCTAACCTTTCAAAGTTAGGGTATTACCTCTTTTTAGCAGGCGTGGGAGTAAAAATTGGGGAAGGTTAAAATCCAGCCCAAGGTTGCTAAGTGTTAAAAGCCTGATTCTGTCTCCCATCCCAGATGCCTATCATGAGTGGATAGTCAGGGCTAACTCCTCCTCTAGGCCAGTAGGCACTGTGCCGGAGCCCATGTCCCATTTAGAGACTCATAAAAATGCATTATTATCTTTGTTTTTGAGACAGGATCTTCCTATAGCCCCAGCTGGAATACACTATGTACACTAGGCTCGCCTGAATCCCATAGAGATATGCCAGCCTCTGTCTCCCAAGTATTGAGGTTAAATGGCAGTAATATCTTTAAAAAATTATTTATTTTTATATGTATGATGTGTTGACTGCATGCATGTAAATGCACCCATGTCCTTCAATACCCACAGAGGCCAGAAGGGGGCATTGGATTTCCTGGAACTGGAGTTATGGATGATTGTTAGCGGCACATGGGAGCTGGGAACCAACCCAGGGTCCTCTGCAAGAGCAAACAGTGCTCTTAACCTCTGACCATCCCTCTGGCCCCAGTATCTTTAAAAAATATATTGTTATTTATGTGTATGTATGTGTGGCTGGGTGAGTTAATATGCACTATTCATGGCAGATGCCCATGGAACCTAGAGAGCATTGGATCTCCTGGAACTGGAGTTACAGGTGGTTGTGAGCTGCCTGATGTAGGTGTTAGGAACTGAACCTGGGTCCTCAGCAAGAACTGTAGCTGGTTTAGCTACTAAACCATCTCTCCAGACCCCTTTAATTGCTTTTTTAAATGCAGGAAAAATTGAGCTATTAACAGTAACAGATCATAATGAATCCAGTGTATATTGTGTATATGTATGGTGTATGCATGTGTGTTTGCAAGCATGCTTACGCTTGCATGTGGATGCCAGGTGTCTTCCTCTATTGTTCTATACCATTTATTTATTTTTGCACGTGGTGTGTATGTGTTAGGGAACCAGAGGTCAGTGTTTCTGGTGGTTTCCTCTATTGCTTTCCACATTGCTCTTTTTGTGTGTGGTGTATGTGCACATGTATATAGCTGCTCCTGCCCCTGCACATGCATATGGAGGCCAGAGATCCATGCCAGGTGTCTTCCTTTTTGCTCTCTACCTTTAGTTTTTGGACCAAGGTCTCTCTCTGTACCTGGAGCTTACTGTTTCAGCTGAACTGACTGGTCAGTGAGGCCCTAGGATCTGCCTGTCCCTGCCCCTCCTCCCCAAGTGCTACAGCTTACAGATGTGTGCCATGCCTGGCTTTTACATGGGTGCTGGGGATCTGAACTCAGGTCCCCTCACTTTACCCACTTGAGTCATCTCTCTAGTCTTCAGTGCGTATCTTTGTATCAATACAACCATGAAATTTTATTTTTATGGAAAAAAGCACTCTTTAAGGCAGAAGTGCTGAGGATGCATGAAAGTCATCTGTGTCTCTTATCCTCTCCCTCAGAGCAATCTGGGTTCTCTAAGGAAGTGCCCGGGAAGCATAAAATATGGAATCTATCTGTTCTGAGAGCTACAACCCCATCTTCCACTTCTCCTGCTTAGCTGAGATGCAAATTTGATATGAGATAAAGTTCCCCTGTCACTTTTTTCTGGTTGGCTAAAAGTTTGGGGGGAAGTATGTGTTGAGAATATGGGCCCCCAGAGATTCCACACTGAAAGGGTCACCTGAAATCCCATTCAGACAAATGAGTCAAACATTCAGAAAACTGAAGTTTCAACAGAAACACACAGACATGTTGACATTCTCTTGGTTATGGTTCAAATAAAAACATGCACTGGGTTAGGCAAGGCTTAATGGAGCTGCTATGCCAGGACATGCCTCAGCTGAGGAAAAACAACTTTGAGATTTTAAGCAGATAAAGGCTCATCTCACTAGATGTGGTGGTGCAAGCCTATAAATTCTGCTCTCAGGAGGATGAGGCAGGAGGATCATGATTTCCAGGCTGGCCTGGGACACACAGTGCGTTGAAGGCCAACCTGGGCCATGCCATCCCCAGTGTTCATCCTGTTAAAGGGGTCACCTCTCTGCTCCTGAGGCTGCAAGCTTGTCTCCAGGCTGCACAGGCAGAATTCCCACTTACCTGAGAGACGGCTCTTGAGTTTCATTTTACTGCTGCCCTGTTTGGGACTGTCTAAGTTCCCCTTGGCTTCCTCAGTGCTGCCCACATCCTGGGACTCTTCTGATCCCGGCATCTGAAATACAGAGCACAGAGCTGATGGGAGAGGCTAGGCCTCTGAGAAGTTACCTTAGCAAGGCTGGAGGAGCAGCAAGAAGTCATGTGAGAAAAGGTGTCACAGGATCAGCACCCAGCCCTGCAGATAACCGGTGTGCTGCGTGGGGCAAGTGTCTCCTCAGGAGCTCTTCCTTGCAGCACAGCACCAGGGAGGCTTCAGACTGTAAGGAACCCCTGAGGCTCTTTCCACACTCATTCTACCTGGAAGGAAACTAGTTGGTTAAGATCACCTCAGAGTAGTCAGCCAGGGGCAAAGCCAGATTGAGAGTCCAGGTCTCTTGGCTTATGGCTCAATGCTTTTGGTATGATGCAAACTGCAACAAATATTAAATCAGAAATTTATTTTTTATTATATTATATTATTTTTTAATTGAATTTTTGTGACTTTCATATATCTTGATCAATTTTAGATCCCCCCTCCCCTGTCTGCATCCCCCAGCACCTCCACTGGATTTCATGCATTCTGTCATATATATTAAGGCCTGCTGAGCCAAGTTGTGTCCCCTAAATGTCCCTTGTTGTGTGTCCATCTACTGAAGCTTGGTCAACCTATCTAGTGTCACTCCCTCCCTCACCTAGTAGTCACTGGTTACCAATAGTTTCTCAGCTAAGGTTGGTGCTTCGTTCCAATTTCCCCCCTTCTATGCTGGGATTTTGTTTGAGTCTGCATGATTCTTGTGCATGCTGTCACATTGCTATAAATTTGTATGAGCAAGTTCCCAGCTGCCTGGAAAACTTTCCTTGTGATCGCCCATCACTCCTGGCTCTTATAATCTTTCCACCCCCTCTTCCGCAATGGTCTCTGAGCCCTGGGTGGCAGAGTTAAATCAGAAATTTAAACTAAGTTCTAAGGTAAAATACACTAAAACTTTGAGTTCATGCAATGACAGGAATATGTTCTGAGAAATGTGGTTTTAGGTGGTTTTGCTGTTATGGGAACACCACAGAGGGTACTCTCCCAGACCTGGATGATTTAGGTCAGTCACTAGGGAAGGCCTTGGGATAGTGATAAATTTGAGATCCACAAGGCACACTATTTTTTTCTTTCTTTCTTTTTGAGACAGGGTCTCTCTGTAGCCCCAGCTGGCCTGGAACTCACCATGTAGATCAGGGTGGACTTGAACTCTCACAGATCTGCCTACCTCTGCTGGGATTAAAGGTGTGAGCCACCATGCCTGGCCTTAAGGCACACTATTTTACAGTAATCTTTTAAGATGAATACAAGGAGTTAATTCTGAAATGATAAAAGCAAACTAAAGCTGGCATAGCAGTGCATGCCTTTGATCCCAGCACTGGGGAGGCAGAAGTACTTGGATCTCTGTGAGAGTCTGGCCAGCCTGCGAAGGTCTACGTGTAAGATTCTGTCTCAAACAAGAACGAAAAAGCATACTATAGTAAATATATAAATGAGTAATGAAGCCACTTACTGTCAAACATTATGAAATGTATATAACTGCATATGTTGTATTTCTTCTGTTTTTTCAATATAGATTAATTTAATTTATTTAAAAATATTTTTATTATCTTATGTGTATGAATGTAGTGCTTGCACAATATAAGTGCATCCGTGTTGTGCAATGCCCAAGGAGGTCAGAAGAGGGCGTCAGATCTCCTGGAACTGGAGTCATGGACAGTTAGCGGCCCTGTGGGTGCTGGTAACCGAAGCCGAGTTCTCTGCAAGAGCAGTCATTAACCGCTTAGCCATCTCTCCATCCCCCTCAATATATATTTTTTATTGAATTTTTGTGTATTTCATATATTACATCTTAATCATATTTAGACCTCCTCCCAAGGCCTATGCAAACTCAAACCAGACATATGCTGTTGCTGTATTTTTATGTTACTAGTGTTTATGCTAGGTAGCATCACCAACTTGTTGTACTACAATGTCACTAAGTTGGGAGTTTTTCAGCTCCATTATAATCTTATGGGGACCACCATTGCATACATAACCCATGTGACATATAACTGAAATGTTATATGTCACATGAATATGTCTCCTTCAGTCATCCTAGTGAGTCTGAATTAAACATAGGTTCTGCAGAGGAGACAGCCTATGTAGGTCATATGTTTGGTTGGCATCAGACCTCAGGAGGTGATGCAGAGAAGACCATTCCAAAGCTCACAGTGTCCTGCATCCCAGGCCATGCTAAAGAGTACACTATTAGATTGAAAAAGGAAACTTTAGTGTTTGAGGGTATTTGTTAAAAACTAGAAGTGGGAGGGGAATGGGGAGATGACTCAGTTGGTAAGTGCCTCCCTTGCAGGAGGACCTGAGTTTGAATCTCCAGAACCCATGTAAACAGCTGAAGAGTAGTGGCCCAGGTCTGTAACTCCAGCCTGCTACAGGCAGCAGGGTTTGTATGGGGGTATTACAGAGACAGGCAGATTCCTGGAACTCTGAGAAATCCTGTCTCAAAAAATAAGGTGAAAGCGTTGGAGAGATGGCTCAGTGGTTAAGAGCACTTTATGCACTTCCAGAGGAGCCAAGTTCAGTTCTATATTTTTTTAATTAAAAAAAATTTTTTGGCCTTTTTGAGACAGGGTCTCCCTGTAGCTCCAGCTGGTCTGGAACTCACTATGTAGAGCAGTCTGGTCTTGAACTCACAGAGATCTACCTGCCTCTGCTTCCTGAGTGCTGGGATTAAAGGGGTGCCACCACCCACACTCACCACACAAGTGCACCCAAGTTCAGGTCTTAATACCCATGTATTAGAAGTAGCTCACAACCACCTGTAACTCTAGCTCCAGGGACTCTGACACCCTCTTCTGGCCTCTGTGGGCACCTTCACAAAGGAGTAAACACTCATAAAGACATACAGACATCTACATAAGCAAAAATTCTTGAAAAGAGCTAAGGTGGAGAGAAATTGAGGAAGACCTCTGACTGCCACATGCATGCCCACATACACACACCTACATGAACATGTACAAAGCCCCCCAAAATTCTGGGATGGGTAAATTTACATGTGCCAAACTTATGAAATCTATCAAATAATATATTCTTTGAAATTTAAATTTCCTTTCAGGTTCTGAGGGAAAAAACTGTATTTAAATAGGCAAGCTTCACAGTAAGGAATGTATAAAAGCTTGCACAGGACATAAACATATCGAATTCTGTGTATAAAATTTAAAAAGTAACCAGAGTTGTCTCTCAAATAACTTCTTTTATGAGGTGATTATTTATATAAGTTTTATATGTAATCTGTAAGTTTGAAAATTCCCCCTTCTTCTATTTTTTGAGATAATGTTTCCCTGTAGCCCCAGCTGGCCTGGAACTAGCTACATAGACCAGGCTAGCTGAGATTAAAGGCATGCCTTTCTTCCCTAGGCTCAAGTATCTTCCCAGATAAGGATGAGGAATAAAGGGTCTGAAAATGAAGAGGCATGGGCAAAATTCTAGAAGGGGTGCTGGGAAGGAGCATAAACCCTGACATAGCACAGATAACAAAACTGGCTTGCTATGTTACAATGTCAGGGTTAAACTATGAAGAAAGGGTAAGAGCGGGTTCTGAGGACAGTTTTACAGCTTCTCCAGAGGGATGCCTTTGCCAACCTCAAAGGAATCCATGCAAACCCAGTGAAAAAGAACCATCTGTGCCATTTGCAGCCAGGAGCCATGCAAACAGGAGTCATCTAGAGAGATTAAAAACTTCATGGAAGGGGCTGGAAAGATGGTGCAGTGGCTAAGAGCACTGCCTGCTCTTCCAGAGGACCAGGTTTGGCTCTCAGCACCCACATGGCTGGTAACAACCATCCCTAACTCCAGTTCCAGGGGATCCAATGCCTTCTTCTGACCTCCATGGGCATTGCACAACATGGATGTGTTTATATACATACAGGCAAAACACTCATACACATAAAATAAAAATAAACTAAAAATAGTAATGTACCCATTTGACAGATGAGAAAAGAAAACTGAGACTCTTTCATTTTTAACATTTGAGATCTACAACAGATTATATGTGAGGAAGATAGAATACAAAATGAGTGCTGACCACATGCACTCTGTCAGATCTAAAGATGCAAAGAGAAATGCAATGAACTCTCTCATTTTCAGAAGCTGAGGGAGGTGATTTAAAAGAATCGATCACAGCCTTAAAGATCAATGTTTTCTTTTTTCTCTTAACCCCCCTCCCCCCGCACTGTACCAATGATGAAATGATACTTAGCTTCTATAATTTACAAGTTGTCAGCAGGATGAAGAAATCTTATGGTACAGTCTAGGTAGAACACCAAGAATGGACCTAGATACACTGTTAAGCCTTGCAAAGGGTACGAAGTTGAAATCAAGGCTTACTTCAGAATCATCTGGAAGTGACATGGTACAGGTATGTTAGTCCATTTCATGTTGTCATAACAGAAGACCAGAGTGGTCATTTATAAAGAAAAGAATTCTAGCATTCTAGCTGGGCTTAAGAGCATGTGCCTATAAAATCCCTGCACCCCTGAGGCGGAGGAAAGGAGGATCTGGATTTAAAGGTCACTTTCAGTGATATGGTGAGTTTGAGGCCAGCCTGGGTTGGTTACATCAGACCCTACTTCAAAAACAAACTTTAAAAAGAAATTCAAGGAAAAAGAAAGCTATTTCTTACAGTTCTAGATGCTGGGAAATCTAGTGTTAAGGTATCAGTACCCAGTGAGGGCCTTTTGCTACATCACCCCATGGTAGAAGACGGAAAGGCAAGAGATCACACAAGAGTATGAAGTCTAATCCTATAAAACAGCCTCCTGAAATGGTGACTTGAGTCCATTCATGAGGGCTTAATTGACACTTATTAGGTTCCCTCCCAACTCTTTACTGGGGATTAAGTTTCCAATACATGATCTTATTCAAACCATAGCAATATGGTTCTGAATTTGAATAGGATCATTTCTTCTCCTAACAGAAAACTGGTTTGTCACATTATTTGGTGTAGGATGCAATGAACAGGAAGTGGACTGCGTAGACACATTAGC